GAAAAAAAGGAAAAATTTCTAATGATGCGCGTCATTAAAAAAATTGAAATCTCATCGCGAAAAAATCACAAGGCTTTCACGGGTCCTTCAAAATCAACGACTATACCTACCGGGAAAATTCTTCTCCTGAGCAGCTCCATTTGAACAACATTTGAGCGGAAAATGGTCTCGATTGACTCAGACAATAATAAATCACTTAAACAAATTGGTTCTAGAGCGATAGCAAGACTTCCTAGAGGTGATCTCCAAAGTCTGCGAGTTAATACTGCAGGTACCAAAAACATGAAAAACTCATTCGGATGTCTTCCGTAAAACACTGTACAGACTTGCTAAACAAATTTCAACGTAGCTTCATTTGGCGAATGGTACCCGTCTGAACGGGTCAACGGTCGACGGTCACCGGCCAAATTGGGTCTGCCTTCTGCGTTGCTTTCATCTGTTCTGTTTGGCACCCTTTCGCCTTCTACAGCTAGCAGAACAGTTTTTGGACACGGAATCAGCATTTCTTACGAGAGAGGGGAAAGTTGAAATTACTGATTATCGATGTAAAACATGGCGAAATGATGCGGAACTTCTTGCAGAGCGGTTGTCTCAATTGAGCTTGAAGGCTTTCCATTGCTGGACTGAGAGCAACAAGTCCTAAACGCACAAATGTAGATGAGTCCAGAACCTAACTCTACAACTATTACTGCAAATTCAAACTTTTCAACACGGAGAATTACGTTGCGAAGAGTGCCTACGAATGATGTGGAAATGAATGCCTGAATGGCTGGTTGACAACGAGACAACGAGGCCGAAATCGTCGTCATCTTTTCGACGCGGTCATTTTGGAATTTCGGTCATCCTCCCGGCCGAAGACGTCTGACACCAGATCGTTGCCAAATCGTTCGGCGCATAACGATTAGAAACCATACAGTCGGAAATAGCCAAAAAGTCGCATTCGCGATATTACTAACCTATTTACGAAGGGAAAGGGTGCAGTGCCACGGTGAGTCTACTGTCACTTGCACGACAAGCACCGACTTTCCCCAGCTCATACCGTCACAACCTTCCCTCACGCCGGGGTTGGCTAATAGATGCGAGAACCAAATGTAAGGAAAAAAGAAATGGACAGCATCGTTGACATTATCGCAATCAGTCGGGGCGTGTCAGGAGGGGTGGAACAAGCCCGCCACCGGCCTCTTTCTCACCAATAGTGACCGGCTAGTGATGCAAAACGGCCCATTAAATGCCTCTCGACACGCCCCTGCTGATTGCGACGATATCAAGTGCACAGTGGCTGAAGCCTGCAGAACATTGTATTGCATTCAGTGACCCATTCGATTCTGAACGGAAAGTTTCCAGGAGTATTCAGTGCTCATAAGGTTCCTTATTAAAGTCTGGGGCGGTTGAGAAGATTCAGCATTCTCTCCATTTTCGACCTTGCCTTCGACGGCGAAGTGAAAACGAGAGAAACCGTGGCGTGTGAAACTGACTGATGGGGGTTACTGCTCCCTTGGTTTCTTGTTCTATCACGGCGAGTTTACTGTTTTGCACCTCGAAAGGAACCCTCCCATATAGTTCGTTACTCTGAGCCTAGCTGACTTTGGTAGGACGCTCATTCTGCGTTACCTTACAACAATTGCAAATGCACCACTACGGCTGGATTACGAAATCTCCTTGCATGGTTCACCGTTAAGTTGCGAGAATTAGATTACAATTAGGTCCTCTAAGTTTTCTGAATCCAGTGGTCCGCTATAGGATACAGTTAGGAACAGATAGACCGGACAAATAGAACTGCCCTTTTACCAGCTCGGAATAGTAGCAGAGCTGAATTTCTTAAAGAATGAGGCGGAATCACCGGTCTTATGGGTGCATTCCACGATAGCCGGATAGGAAGAGATATGGGCGGAGACTCACGATCTCAATGGCACGCTTTCCTCTTCACCGTATCAGAATGAGGAGCGCACCAATGAGAAACGCACAATGGTTGCAAAGCTCCGCCCCTCGGATTAATATCGTAATATTCCTTCGAACTAATTGAAAGTGTCAATGTGAAAGGTACGTAGTTCCGTTAGTACTACAACATACTGCACGTATTGGAGCTAAAAATGTTCCTAATGGTGGCCACGTGTCAGTTTTACTTCATATCCCCAAGGGGAGGCGTGGTGGCGTGCAGTGAAAGTGGTGGCCGCTGTCCCTTGGCAGAATATTTCAGAACTGGGACAAGCTCGGTCTAGTTATTCTGCAGTCCAAAATAAGATCCAAAACAAGATGACAGTCATCTGTAATGAAATATGGGAAGGAAAAGGTGTCATGTTCAAACGTAGTAGTATGCAGCCACGCCCTCCCCATCTCCAGATAATGGAAATTGGTAGCAGGACAGCTGCATACCCATAGACACTGCTTGTTTCTACTGTTTTCGTGCTTGTCCTAGTGTAGTTTGTAAAATGAAACTGAAAAACCATGATTTTATGCATACACTAAACGGGTTCACCTTCTCACTCATTATAAGATCAGTCCCTCTTCGATCCCTCAGAGCAAGTCCTGTACGACAATCGATTAGCTTGAAAGACTTTCTGGTGAGGCGTTGTCTGTGACTAGACTAGTAAACAAACCAAAGAGTAAAAGTGGAAATCCTTCGGAATGACCGATTATCGGGGTGATCAGACGCAGCAACTCCGCAATCTGGGGTCAACGCGCTTCGCCGAAATCGACATCCGGAGGCGTTCCTGCGTGGGAATCACGGGTGAAATCGACTACTGCACATGAGATTAGTGAGATTACGATTTTCAAGTTCGATTGTTCACTGAAAGATTACAGCGTTGATAAGAACGTTATAATGAAGTTCCATATTGAAAGGTGAGTTCTGCTTAGTTCTACGGTGAATATGGTGGCGACTGATAGAGTCGACTTGGATCCTTTTGAGGCAACCATCTTTATAGGAGACTTTGAGGAGTAAATATTACACATGAATAAAAAATGACTACAATACCGTGGAAAGAGGCATCTCGCTTCTGAAACCTACCAACAGGACCTATTTCGCCCGTAATGGAGAAGTGTGCAGACACGTTCTAATTTCACATCCAGCACAGGCTTATTCTCGATTCCTGCCTTTTAACCCAGTGCCCTTGACGATCAAGCGATCATGGGGTCAAGTCTTGTCATCGCTAGTGTACAAGTCTTGAACAATAGCGATTGGTGTCTTCCATTCGCAGAATGACACACTCCAGGAACTAGCCTGCGTGTGACTCAAGGGCTGCTTCAGGCTCAGGAACTATCCTGCGTATGTGACTCAACCCTGGGCTGCTTCAGGCTGACTCTAACTATTCTCAAAGGCAAGTGGCAAGATGAAGCGACATCGGTACAAGATCGATACGTCTTGCATGAAACAACATTATGCTCCTTAAGACCCTGCGACCGAGGATACCGCTGAAGCGCCTAACCGATGTGCAACATGGCGACCCAGACGCCCACCCCAACCGCCCGCTCATAAGTGGCCGGACAGTCAAATTGGCGCTGTCACTCATATCGCTTCTTTCACGACGAACAACTGATATGGATCGTTGGATTTCATGAAGCCAATTGCAAAACTCCTCCAAAAATGCTCGTTTTCGCAGGTTTTGAGTAGCTTAGCTTCGCACCTTTGTTATTTCCTCATGTAGCATCCCCTGCTACTATTTTTGGGCAAGTACCAAAATATCACGCCTTATGCCTTTAGCTCAATTGAACTGTTATCTCTCTACTCTCTTGGACGTGCAGGGCTGTGACGGCGGCGATTATGCCCACTTCTGTCTGAATGACACCATTGGCATTCACAGCGTTTTCTAGGCAATACTGATTTATCATAAGTACTTTGATGGTGTCATACAAGAGCAACAGGTCCTTGTTGTCCTTCGCCCATTGTGCACGGTTGATACGAAGAGACTGTTGGTTACAGCGCGAATCTCAGCAGCTTAATTTGATTGAACAGCGCTTACCCGCGTTGACCTCGAACATTTATGTTTATTGTTCGCACTCTTTCATAGCACAATGGCGTTCGCTTTCCGCGACGTGACCCCGCTTTTTCGATAATCTCACAAAATTCACCACTGCCCTAAACCCTCCTACTGGAATTCACTGCAATTCCACTGCAACCATCCGCCTATACGGAAAGCCGTTGACAGTGCCAGGTGTTAACCTCGACTGGAGCAAAGGGCGACTAGCGTTTACACAATCGAAACATCTAACACCAAATCCAAGATGCGAATGAATATTGAGCAGCAGTCCAAGCGGTTAAACCCACCTGGGAAAGGCATAGATGGACCCAAATAGTACCGAGGAAACTGGATTTCGTTCTGCGGAGTGATACGTGGGGCACAACTCAACCCAATCGTTTGGAATGGCCCACCGTCGTGATTCACTGAATCGCTCTGCTCTTCCGTGAGTCTGTGAGCACTCCTTCTGACGCTCGTACCCCTTTAACATTCGCCTGTCAAATTTACATACAGTCTTGTTCACTACTCATGCTGGAGCGTGTCAGGGGGCCGGGTTTGGAGCGGAGCCAGTCCGTTCTCCACCAATAGTGGGAGCAAGGAGGCAGGCGACCACTACTGGTGAAGAACTTGCTGACGCCTCGAGAAGCCAAGTCCATCTGACACCCCCAGCGTCCGCAGCGAAAGAGACTTTAACCAACATCGGTTGCAGTCTAGATTTGTCCTGTAAGCTTATTCATTGAGTTCGCGCTCACTCAAACCACGATGTCGATGTCATCATTATTTTTTTACACAGTAATCAATATGAAACACAAATCCCTTGAAATCGCATCCACATCACCAGAAAATAAAAAAAACACACAAACAATGAAACGTAGTGAACAAATGACGGGATAAAAGTGAGAAAATACAACATCTGATGCACTTCAAATGATAAATTATCAGTAATCAATCGAATGATCTGTAGATATGATGATAATGATTGGCTAGGTTAGATCAAACCAATCAAATGGCTTTATGACACACATTGATGAGTACGGTCTCATCCTATACAGCAATAGCAGGACTTGAGGATTCTTCAGATATAGTCAGTGACGTCATCGGTTCTTGCATGAGGGATATCTCTTTCACAGGCGGTGAATCTTTTTTTTTACGTAGCAGATTTCTCTCTTTCACCTGAATCTCTTAGACCTTTGTAGTCTGGTAAATAGTAGTACTCACCGCAGTACTCACCTTGTACTCAAGAGTCGAATGTGGTACGCCGTAGTAACTTCCAGCTCTATGAACGCTCATCTCACCACGTCGTACGCTTTGAACTGCTTCATCCAGAGCATTTTTATCATATTTCCTTGAAGACATGGTTTATTGGGGTTGACACTTCCGATCAGAATTAGCATTGCGCTGACTAGGAAATGTAAAATCTTGTTCGCTGCGGATGATGGGGCGTGTCGGCAGGGCTGGGTCTAGCGCACAGCAGCGCAGCTCGTTCTCCGGTCAAAGCGGGTAAGTGACAACAGTTGGTGGAAAACGACCGATGCGGACGATTGATACAGTCACGTCGTTTGTTTAACGAAAAGAAAAGGGCTGGCGCTGCGCCAAACCGATATCCCTGACACGCCCCGTCATCCGCAGCGGACAAGAGCGAATAGCGAGACGGGTGCACCAGCAATCGCCAAAAACTTCTCATGGCATTATACGACCCTATACGATCCCTTTCAGAGGTCAAAAATGTTTCCCGCTGTAGTTTACTGAAGCTTTATAGACCAGTTCCATCGCCCCAGTTTTTGACAGGAGCCTCATTTTGGGAGGCACATAGGCAGTTATAATTTGCGCCTCATTTTTGTGAGATCTTAAGGTTCATTGACATTGAATAAGCAGGTAGGCGATTCAAAGAAGAGCAGCTATGGATAAAAGTCTCATCGACAAAGCTAGTTGGCGTCTCAAATGACCCCAAAAAACTGAACCGCTGGGACAGGCAGGGTACATTGGTAACACACTGAAGTATAAGTTGAGGGGGACAGCAGGTATACATTACGCTGAACTGCATGTAACAATTGGGTGCATAACAGCGCCGAGTACACACTGTACATCTTAATTCACGCCTAGACGGCTCCTGGTTAAAATAGAGAGCAGAACAGTGTATCCTTATTTCCAGGACGTTCTGCAGAAAAAGGTAGCGCATGATCTTGGCGTCTCTAGGCCTTGAAAATCCCTTCTATAGGAAACAACGTAATTATCGGAAAATTGGTGTGGGAACCTGTACCTGTACTGTCCTCGTTTCGGTCGACTCTTTTTCCACTCCGATAGCTCTTCTTTTTCTTTCTTACTTTCCTCCTTCCCAACTGGTCCCATGATATCAGCAGTCATATTTGTCTGAAGTGATTGAATATTACTGCATACATTTATCTACTGAAGAGTAAAATGGGACGAACACTGTTCTGACTAAAAAGGCTTTGCCACAAGTTCGTCGTCCACTCACTATCCCAACAATTATCCGCATTGTACTTTTTCTGAAAGTTTGTACAGTAAAGTTATCTGATACAGCACCTTCTACTGCAGTACCACAGTCTACTCTTCAATGTATGTACTTACCTCGCCATCTGTTCCGTCACTACTTGGCGAAATCGATGAGCAATCGGTAACCGGAGTGGATGCTCTGTAATAGGTATTCTTAACGAGTACTTCTGAGAGAGCCATCTCCAGCTTTTAAGCCATGCTCATTCTCAAAAGGAAGGAGAGACTGACTTTTTTTGCCGTTCCACTTGTTCTGCCAATTTTTTCTCCGCATTACTCTGACCGCCTGGACGTCTTCTTTTGTTCAGCGGAGCTTGTCCAGCTTGTTCTTCAGCAGCTTCTAACTTGTAAATCTTATTTCTGAGAGTTGAGCGTGGAATACCATATACCACCGAGGCTCTGAAAACGGTAGAAATCAGCAGCATTAGGAGCAGACTGGCCAGGTGCAGTGCTGCAGATTCGCAACTGGTGGATTTGCATGCGCGAAATTTGCACCAGAAACTAATTAATGCAGCGCGCCTTTATTCCACACTTCGAGGTTGAATAGAAAGGACACTCACCGTCTCGTTCCCAATCTTCCACACCTAATATCGTTAACTGCTGCTGTCAGGTCAACTTGACTGTAATTACGTTTTATGCCATACCCGTTTCTGACTATTTCCTCCGGCCTGAAATATAGTTCCGACAATAGGAGATTCAATCAATGGGTCAACAGACTTAAAACAATAAGATTTGATCGTGAACATGGCCTTCAATTACAATCTTGTTCTCTGCGGATGCTGGGGGGGGCAGGGTGATGTCAGGAGAACTGGCGCGGCGCCAGCGCTAGCCCATTTTTTTACCGTATTCGGTCGCTTGTCAACTTCCATCCATCGGCCATCATCGGTGGGGAAGGGGTTATGCGCCGAAGAAAGTTTACTGACACGCCCAGCATCCGTAGCAAACAAGACTATTAACAGTTCATATTACGGTACTGGTTAGAGCATGCCTACGAACTTAGCTGTGAGCGTTGGGACAGCTTTAAGGCCTCGTTCATACTTCGCAACGCGAGCGATTTCCAAGCGGCGCGAATGCGTAGCTCAAAAGGCGAAGTATGAACGCGGCTTTTTGTGGACAAAAAGTCTTCTGCTGTCTGCCTCTCTTATGCACCCGTTGTCTCGATTACCCTGTTACTTTACTTGGGTGGGGGAACGCGGAGAGTGTTGGGGGGCCTATAGTGCTCATAGTCTACCACTTTCGCACTCGCGAATAAATCCCTGATCACACCCTGTAGAAGCGCCCTGTTATGAGCTGTAAAAGTGTGCCAGGTTTTACTGTTGAGGGGTAAGAACTGTTGGAAAACCCTGAGCTAGCTTCGCTGAAGATTTCCATGCTCGACAAAAATTACTACATAAGATGCCTAAATTGGTGTTTGTGAAAATATTTTTGTAGTGTGCTGTGAAAACTGGTGGATATATCTTGTATAAATAAAGTAAACTAGTTCCAACCCATTCGTTTCCTTTTCAGTAGCTTCGACTGGTTGTTGACTTTGTTTTCGCTGCTTGTGGGTATAATTGGCAGTCTCGATATCGATAATGGCTTCCAATCCCTAAATGAGAGTGCAATGTGTACTAGTTGACTACTGAAGTTGTTAGTTAGTTGTTACCGATTTTCGGCTTAGATCTAAAGGTTGTTCATCACGTGTTCGCCCGTCTGCATGTCGTTCGTTATTCAGTTTTGAAGGTATTTGAGGTTGAAATGGCTGATGTGACGGCTCTGCTGGCATGTTCCACAACGGGTTGGCCAGGAATGGATTGACCGCTGCCAGTTCTGAAGAAACATAATGAGATAGAAAGTCTGCTATTGAAACCCTGATTTTGGATGAGGCATGAACTCTCCCCGCAAGAATGGAAAGGGCAGCTTCGGCCGGAATTCCCCCCGAATAAGTCAGGACCAAGTGCACCAAAGAAAGGGAACTTCGAAGGGAGGAGTACCTTCCTGATGGCTATGGATATCTAAGGAGGCTAGCAGGTATGCAAAGAAAAGCAATTCACAGGTTGGCAAAACGGTAAGCTTCAGTGAAGCAGGACTTCCTCACTAACTTCATGTGCACAACCTTGCACAAGTTTCGAGTTTCGTCCGAAGGTGAAGGCACTGAGGCGCTAGAGTGCTTCAGTGACGGCTCCCTGATTTCCCGTGTCTCCGCCCAAACTCTACCTTCGCAGTCCATCTTCCAGCTAAAACTATGCTACGATCAAGTAGCAAGAACTGAAAGCTCCATTGTTGCATGTGGGGTATCTGACTAAATACTTGCAACACGCGATCTTCTTGGCCTTGTTTTCGTGAAATTGCTTGACCAGAGGGCCAGGGAGCGTCCTCGCTCCGTCTTAAAGGCAGTTGGCACGATAGTTTCCTAAAATGCTAGTAGGGCGCTGTATAGTGGGGAAATGGCGAAAGAACGGAGTGAAACGGTCAAAATCCTGCGAAGAAAAAGCCTCCGTTCTCAGTGACTTGTAAATCGATTTCGGACGAGTTTCCCGTAGGCATCTTACCAATCACCGCTACCGAAGATACGGCTGCATATGTGTACCCATGTATGCATGCAGCATCACGGCCGCTTCATACCAATCCTTCGCTTCATAATTTGCTTAGCAAATGAATGAATACGAGCGTCAGGAACGGTCGTCCATTTGTGGGCGGGCGTGGCGGGCGTTTGGGACGTAAAGTTGTGGCTTGATAGGGCCCTTATAAGGGCACCTTCCTCGGGGAAACCGCTATGCAGCGCCTGCCCAGGGTCGCGGAATTCTATCCTGCCAGGCGTATCAATCCTACTCGTCTTTAGGGATTTATCGTGCCAACTGCCTTTAAGGCCATTACGGAGAAAATGTTAAGGATGAGGAAGAGCGGTTTGGATGCCGGGTTGCATACGTCCCCGCACAGATTCCACAGAGGATTGCTGAGCGACTGGTTGCAAAGAGAATCAATCCTATTTGCATTGTGAAATGTTGTCTGCAATACTGGGGAGAGATCTGATAGTTTTGGTGGGAGTAGTGAGTTTCGGCTTTTTTTTCGCGTTTCAGCATCGTCTATAGCTGAAGGCGGTGGGCCTCACCATTCATTCGCGAACTTCTTTTATGGAAAGGTGGCGCACATCGCAGCAGAGGCCTGCGGGGATAGCGTTGGGGAAGGAGGGTGGGAGAGCGACTGGAGGTGAAGGGTAATTAGGGGACTGTTTGTACTAGGTTGTATTGTCTTGTCATGAACCTGGAGCACATAAGCCACCAACCAAATTAGCCCTTCCCTAACCCTAACTCCATAGAACTAGTGCGGTTGCGTTTGGCTGTGGAGAGGTGAGAACCTAAGCCACTGCTTTATAATGCACGCATGGTACGTACTATGCAGTAAAATAGACAAAACTCTGATCACTTACGATTTTCGAACATCAACCGATTCATCTCAGGTGTCACGGTTGGCGTCATGCCTAATAGTCCGAGCATTTGCATTTGCGACATCATTTCAACTGAAAATTAATTCTAGTAATTTTAGAGGGGTCCTCCACAACAAGAAAAAAGCCTAAATAAGACTTTCACATGAAAGGCGCTAAAATGCATTGCACGAGTGACTGATTCATCTCGCGACGTCGAAGGCATGCGACCTCTCATCGTTTTCGACGCCGTCGAAAATGTGGTCTTCTTATACCGTATGACGTGTGATATTTGGGTAAAGAATGATGCGGATACCGTGGATACGGTCAAAAGGTCATTTTACGGCCAAACTCCGACAGCAGTATTGAAGTTCACACCAACGTGAACAATCGTCAAAATGTGATCAACGCTTGTCACCGCCGAAATGGAATATTTTCATAACATTCGCTGCACAGTCGTGGGAAACCACATCGTTGCGTCAGATTTCAACCTCGCTCACGTAATTTATCTACAGTATATAGCCCTCGAAGGGTACCCGTGGTCAACGCCTTGGGTTCAACAGCAAAGGAAATTTGGGTACACCGCAAAGCAGCTACTTCATCACTTCTATCTTGCTGGAAAAGGTGAAGACTATGAAACTCAGTGAGGGGGGAAGGGGGTGCAATTTTGCTTCTCATCGATGTGTCGACCCATCTAGATAGCCTTTTCTTGAGTTGACACGTTTTACCATGGTGGCTAGACGAGCTTGCTCCAGCTTCACAAGAGTTCACAAGTTTCACCAGAGTGAGACTTGTAAACCGGAAGTAGTGAAGCAGTAAGTGCAAAATGCACCCCGTCGCCTAACTGCGCCCTTATGGTCCTTTGCCTTGTTTTTTCATGGAAACTGATACAAAACGCCGCAATTCACGCTCTGAAACCTATCACAAGAATGCTGAGTTATGGGCAAATGTCTTGACCCAGACGGAACTCAAACTTCACACCTCATGCTCTCCCGAAATGTGCGCTGTTCCGGTCAGCCCTATCGTCAGATATCGGCAGTGAACCGCGAGGCTAAGAGCTTTTACCAGTTTTGAAGCTGCTTTATGGTGTTGTATTTCTTGCGTAGCACTCGTGCACAGGGTACAGCATGGGGATGTGCGAAATGTCTTTGTGAGTACGACCCACCTCCTCCCTTTCGAATAGGGTTCAGGCACTCCCCCCCTCCACGGCTTTTTCGCCGACGACGAGCGATGAGTACATAGTCGGCGAAAAAATTGTCGAGCGTGGGGTATACAATAACTGCGCAACGTATGTCCCACGGGCGTACAGAATGCAATAGTGCATATAAAACAAAAAATTTAATACGACCCCTTTTCCACCAAGAAAAAATCACTACTCAAGTAAATCTTGTCTTAACAAATGCGACCCCCGCCCGCCGCGCCAGAGCAAAAGTACGACCGCCCCATGGGTTTGACACCAGATGTTGTTGACACAACGATGCTGTACCCTGCTCGTGCAACAAAAAACGTGCAATATTCGTACACGCGGCTTGGTGCAACAACATCCATCTTAATCCGTTGGGGGTGGCATAATCGCCTCTTGCCACTATCGACATGAAAGTTTTACGAACACGTGAATTATAAAATCAATAGTGAAGAGGGTCGGTGAGAACATTTCATCGCTACCATACTTTTAATCATAACTTTTGGAATTTCTATATCGCTGACATTTTAGAATTGGGCAAACACATTCAGGTTATCCTCCAGAAATTCAGGATGATTAGACAAGCGTTTCGGGATGAAGCTTGAATCCTATTTCCTGGATCGCGACGGAGAGACGGATCTTCCATCACTTCCGCTGTGTTCGGCAGCGTTCAGACTTCGCGACGGCAGCGCCTCGGTCGCGCGTTCGACGCGATCGATGCGCATGCTTTCAACTGCATCGATCGCGTCGAATGCGTGACCCAAACGTTGCCTTCGTCAAGTCTGAACGCTGCTCAAGACATTGGAACATTTCAGGATAATACAGCGTAGGATTGCGGTTCCAGGCGACGGTACAGTTACTGTCGAACTCTTTTGCAGAGTATCGCGTCTTGATTTATACAACCACTGCAATAGTTATCCCCGCGGACACTGGTGTTTTTCTGGTTCGCTATTGCACGCGTGCAAAAAGAATAAAAAAGCATATAAATATGGCGTAAAGGAGGACATTTGCCAGTCAAACCTATACCACGATGGGAACCAGAAAAAGCAAGACTCTGCTTTCAAAGTAAACGTGAGTCTTCGCAGCAGTTGGCAAACACCCTCTCCTTAGCGATCGTCTGATACTACCTATCAAAGTTGAAATTATCATCATTGAGCAATCCTGGAAAATTTTAATTGGTGTTGCTTGGTCCTGCGCCATCAGAACCCACACAAAACTTTTGTAACTTCCCTAATTCAGGTTCACTATACAGGAAAGGGAATCTTTTCCTGGATCGCGACGGAGAGACGGATCTTCCATCACTTCTGCTGTGTTCGAAGACGTTTTTGATCTTAGCAAAGCCACCATTTCTGAGGCGGTCATTCCTATTAAGTCTCAAAATAAAATTTGAAAAAAATCCATAGTTTCGTAAAGATGGGCACTCTCGAATACGGTCTCTCCGTCC